CAAAATGTGTCAAATTTACTTACATGTTAGTTAGTGCTCTTCAAAACTGAAAATTTTGGTATCGATCCGACACCCATTAAATTAAGGGTAATACTTCCTATTCTAATACTTTTAATGTGAGCTTATGCAGAGCAGATCAGTGTGTCATGATTTATGACCTGAATCATCATGAATTTGCCAAATTCGGAACACATTTTAATGACCACCAAAATATACCTGTGGTGTGAATGAGACACGGCAAGTCCACGGCTCAAGGTTTTGAGCCATTTTATTTATCACAGCTGCAGCTCACCAGCTACCAGCCGGACATACATCACACCACAATCAAAAACACAACCCTATTTCCCCATGTTTAACTCGGTGGGTGTGATTGCAGATGCCGCGCAGGTGTGTCCACCCTCTCCGCATGGCACCGCAAGCCACGCCCCAAGACATACCCCATCTCCATCGGGCGATGGCGGTATGTGGTGGTGGTTTGGTTTGCGATTGAAGTGGGGAGGCACCTGCAGTGGCGACGCAGCTGGTCCGAAGGTTGACCATGTTGAACGCAAACACGGGCCTGCAGGCACGTTCGTGAGCCCCTGCTCACAGGTGGCTCGGCCGGCATCCGAACAGGAACAGCTGGCACCTCGACCTCGGGCTCAAGTTAAGCAGGCTCCCCTGGCATGGGGACCTCCACCTCTCCCGGCTGGAGCAGCTCTTCACGCAGCGGCTCCTCCACCACCAGCAGGCATGGACCCTCTCGCACCTGATCCACATCTAGCAAGAGCAGCTCCTCCACCACTCCCGACTGAAGCAGTCCTTGACCCGGCTGCTTCCCCTCCTCTGGCAGGCGCGAACTTCCGCACGCCTCGACCACTGACCCTGGCTGCTGAGGTGGCCCACATGGCTCCACCACTGCTGCATTGCGGTGGCAGTGTTGACCAGGCCCAGAGCAGAGTTGCCAGATTCGCAATGCTCTCCAGGTGACGCTCAGTCTGGTACCGCAGCTCTTCCTGCTGGTGGCACACCTCCTCTGACTGCTCCCGCTGGACACCATCTGGACAAGCTCCGCCCCTTCCCGGCTCCGGCATGGACCCGCCATGCCACCTCCTTGGTTTCGGCACCAGTGTGGTGTGAATGACACATGGCAAGTCCACAGAACAAGGTTGCGGGACATCTTTTAGTTTGGCTGCTTCAATTCAATTCAATTCGATTTTATTTATATAGTGCTAAATCACCACAACTGTCGCCTCAAAGTGCTTTATATTGTACAGTAGATTGTACAATAATAGATACAGAGAAAATCCCAACAATTATAT